CATTATGTAATTATTGTATTAGGTTTGGAGAAATTAGTCACAACAAATGTTTAGCTGTGTTTCAAGAAACAAGTGGAAACAAGCAGAGTGCTATAAAAACTACCATTGATCTCTTCACATTTGAGTGTGATATTATGGTAAAGGCAATATTAAAGATTACAAGTAATTATAACTTTTATAAGGTATACATGGACATTTAAAATGTGGCCAAAACTTGTTGTTTGTTGTGTTCAGTTTAACACTGGATTGTCAGTTATACTGTTTGATATAACAATATAGATTATTTTTAGTGACAACACATGAAAGAGGAATATTTCAAAATTTTTGGGGCAAAAATAAAATGGGGTCTTATTTAACCCAATTTGCACTCTGCAACTTTTCTAGTGGAGGGTTATCATCTGCTTGTCTTCATAGAGATGTTCCACACTATGGCGTTAAACTTAACCATTTCCACAAAGCCAAGTAGGTGACACCACCATGCCAAGTTACAGGTTAGATCTGTGGAGGAACAAGCCCACTCACGGTATGAATGCATGATTTTCTTGATGTTTCTGAGCAATAAAAATTTGATAATTCAATATATACAAGATAGATTACTTTAATGCTATACTGTGGAACATTCTGGGCAAAGCAGTAACATCTCCATGAGACTAGCAGGTGACAGACCCTCCACCAGAACAGCTACACATTGCACCTTTAAGATAATTTTCATATTATGGATTACCGTATGTGACTCTAATAATGCATACACCGCCGGCATGTTTTAATTAGCTGCAAATATATAGTTAATTTACTTTAGCCCCTGGTACTTTGCTTTTTTTTTGTTACTTGCAGAGTAAATTCCCTAATACCAGTGCCTCTCGTTCCCACTGTACTGTTTTGCACTAAATCCATTGTTTTGATAGTCCCTCAGCCAGAAGCATATCCTGTGATCACACTCCCTTTGTCGGGAGGTAATAGGATTGAATCGCATGGGGGAGAACTGTGTACTTTGAGTGAGGGGTCCTCTGTTTTTATATACACTGCAGTTATGGTGCATTCATGGACCGTTGGAGACACTGGAAAAATCTCAGTTGGAAAATGCATGATATTAATGCCTGCCTCAAGTTGCAACAGAAACCCAATGTTTTATTTGTATTAGCATTTACCCTGGAGTCAAAAAGTTGATTAAGGATAGACATGCCCTTGTTTTTAGCAAAGGAAGAAAGCTATTGCAACTCAGAAGAGCAAAATCATGCCAGCAAACAATTAGAATAGCAAGGAAAAAAAAAAAAATCACCCTTCTCCAATGTTGGGTGGTGGTCTTTTAAATGTGCACTCTGTAACTTTTCGGGTAGGGTTCTCCATTTGCTTATCTACATGGAAAAATTATTGGAGAGGTGACCCTGCTTAGTGTAAGAATGTATGATTGTATGTTTTTTTTTTAGCAATAAAACCATCTGTACTTGAATAAATGAAAGGTATACAAGTTTAATTGTGGATCGAGCACAGTAGTATCATCTCCATGGAGACAAGCAAGTAGTGGACCCAGCGCCAGAAAAGTTACACAGTGTACTTTTAGGTTTTGTCATTATTATTTACTTACTAACACTTGCACTAACTCATATGCATTTTCCAGTTTATCCCACATCTCTACCAAAATTATCATGTAATATTCTCTGTCTCTTGTCTGTTGCAGCCATGTTCGACAGAGAAAACAAAGGCGGAGTGAACTTTAATGAGTTTGCCGGAGTGTGGAAATACATCACCGACTGGCAGAACATCTTCAGAACGTATGACCGCGACAACTCCGGCTTCATTGATAGAAACGAGCTCAAACAGGCTCTAACTGGATTCGGTGAGCAGCAAAGTATGCTAACCCATATTAACATTAGTGTGCTGTGCAGTGGTGGAGGGCTCTGCTGCAGTGAGTGGTTTGTCAAATTTGCATGTTTACTTTTTCAGTCTTATCAAATGTTTGGTACTACTTTTATAAAACAAGAACAAATACTTAATTCATAATGAACAAAGAGTTTATTAAAGGTTCTATATTACACCAAATCTGACTCTTGTGAGCTTTAAGCCATGTTATAATGTTGTTATCTCATCAGAAACATAACTGGAGTTGTGTTTTGTTTCATTCACACACGTTTAAGTAACCTTTTATTATTTGTCTGTCTATATCTCCAACGTACAAAATGTTCGGTTACACCTTGTGATGTCATGAAGCAGTAATCTTCAAGTTACCTACCAAGCTGCTTTTTACATTTTGTTCAATTGAGATGGTGTATGGAGTTTAAAAACACAGTGGACTGGAGCACTTCTGTACTACCACATGACATCACAAATTGGAACAGAGCGTTTTCAGTTTGAGAGAAGAACTCAGCCTAAATATGCAAGGTTTGTCTCTTTAACGTGTATGAATGAAACAAAACACAACTCCAGGTATGTTTGTGATGTTGAAACGGCATTATAACATAGATCAAAAAATAGCATAATTTAGGCCTTTTAAGAATGATTCAGGCTTAATTAAAAGCTTTAGAGTTAGGGTATTAATTATGTAGTTACTAAGCCTGAATCATTGTTAATAAGATATTTATTCATTATGAATTAATGGTTTGTGCAGTTATAAAGTTTTACCAACTATTTCAATACTTTTACAATTCTATATAGATGAGAACTGGTTAGAACTGGTTAGATATGAGAACAGTGTCATAACTGTAATTAAGCGGTCTAATTATACAGTACAAAACAATATTTTCTCACTGGCCAAGTCAATGCTAACATGCTAACACTTTCATGAATCACAAACCTTATTAACACAAGCTCTTGAAAAGATTGAAGGAGAATGGGCATCAGGTTTAAATTAAACCCAACCACAAATCATAGCTATATTATGTCTTAATAAACTTGTGTCTTTAGTCTTTCCTTTTCAGCCTTAATCTGTTTATTTGCTGTGAGTTTTTGTGTTCAGTCTCATTATTAGCAGGGTACACCACATTTCTTTAATAGTACCAACATTGTAATACATACAATATGGAATTTTGTCATTACTTAATAGTTAGTATTTTAGTAAAAAAACAACAAAACACAGCACTGTATTGCAGTTCATTAAACATGCACTGATATTATACTGATAATTACGATATGCTGTGATTGCAGGTTACCGCTTGTCAGACCAGTTCTATGGCACACTGATAGAGAAGTTTGATCGTCAGAGAAAGAGTCAAGTGGCATTTGATGACTTCATCCAGTGCTGTATCGTACTACAGGTAATGCATTAAAATTATGTCAGGCATAAGCTCTTAAGATGTGGACTGGTTCTTCTGGTTCAGGAGTACAATTCTCATTCATTTTTCACTTTTCCCATAGACATAGAAAGATATAAGAGTAAGACTGCTGTTTAAAAGTCCTATATCATGCATGACTTGTGAACTTTTAGCCATATTTATAATGCTGTTACCTCATCAAAAACATACCTGGAGTTGTGTTTTGTTTCATTCACATGTTTGAGTAAGTCCTGTATTTGTTAGTATGTCTGCATCTCCAAAGCTCAAAAATGCTCTGTTTACTTTGTGATGTCAAGTTCACAGCTACCTTTTACTTTTAGTTCAGTAGAGATTGGCAATTCCATGGCTGAAATCATTCAAATGATTCTAGTGAAGGTGTGTGGAGCACGTCCTGTATTACCACATGACATCACAAGGTGGAACAGAGTGTTAGATTAGACAATAGTGTAATATGGGGCCATAAAACTTTGAATTTCACTTCCCAAGACAGAATTCCTCACCTATTATTATGCTCCAATGTACTAATAAAGACTTCCTCCTCTCTCTTCCGCAGAGGTTGACCGATGTTTTCAGACAGTACGACACAGATCAGGATGGCTGGATCCAAGTATCCTATGAACAGTATCTCTCCATGGTCTTCAACATCGTATAACGCACACTGTTCAGGAGAAGCACAAATGGACCCGTCTGTGCCAAAGCTACAGGCGCCACCCAGAGGTCTACCACCATCACTGCAAGATTTTAATACTTTTGCTAATGTCTATCACTCATAATTGTACCTTTTATTAATGGTAATTGTTTTTATTAGCGCTAAAATAATACTTCCAGGAGTGAATCTGGAAAAGACTTGAACTTCTGTATTCAAAGTCTTGCAGTGTTTTTAGGATAACCAAATGCACCGTATGATGTGATTGACTCTGGGGTGGGGCTAAATGATGGACACAACTATCTTTCTGTCTCTTAATGTTTAAAAAAAAAATAGTTTTAATGTCTTAAGTTTAAATCAAGTTAAAATAAGTATCTCATCTGAGAGCAAAATAAAGCATTGTACATATGATTTAAATCGCGTTGCATGCTTTTCAGGGAAATGTAGCCCCAGGTCTAAGCATGCTTTCCCTTTCTCTTAAACTCAGCCCTGATTTGCTCAAAGCCATGTTTACAAGTACTGTGAAAGCAGGTCATGTTCTGCTTTGAGATTCACTGACATGCCAGCTTACATGCCATATTTGTACAAACTTATTTTTAACAGCAATTATTCAAATGTTAGAGTCTCATTTTGGTAGATGTAAGACTTATTGCCTTTAGTTTGGCTTATTTTTTGTGCATGATGCCTTAAACTGTGTAAAAAAGAGCAACACAAAAGATTAATCTTTTATTAAAAAAGACAAAATGTGTTTAATGTGTTTGTTTTGCTTTTTTGAATGCCCTTCATCCGTTCTTAATTATAAGTTTTAGGTTTACTTTTAAGTACACCTAAAAACACTACAAGTGTACTTGTTTTATACAGTTTTAGTTACTGTTTTTAGGACACCTATGATTTTTAGTAGAATTATACTCAACCACATGTTTAACAAGTACAATTACCAAAAAAACTGACTCAATTACAGTAACGTCAGTATTTGTTATAAATAGTTACATCGATCATAATTAACTGCCCTTAAAAATGTCTCTTATCTGGCAACCCCGTTTGTCTGTCACGGCACTCTGTCGCCACCTGCTGTTGGACTCGAGTCAGTAGCCTCCTGCAGTGCGCCAAAATCAGTTGTGGTTAGTTTCGTTTGTCTTCGTGTTTCGTTTTGGTTCTTATTTAAGCTTTATACCAGCGTATGAATCAATATTTTGTGTATCGACGTATTATTTTATGAAACAATATTTGTAAACTTGCCACGCGACTTTTGCACGATTATTCCACGTCCACAACATGGCGCTTCGGTATGTGCGAACGTGGAAACATGTTTTGAGGACATTTTATAAACATAAAATGCGAGGACAAGCTACAGTCCCTCAACCAAAACAAACAAGAGCATTCAGCAGCTCAACGAGGAGAAGCGGGGACACGGAAGCAGGTTTGTAAATGAGGAACCAAACTGTAGTAACACTTTATTTCATGTAGGGGGCAGTACATGATAGTTTTAGTTTTGCTCTTCCAAAATTCCGCAAATCCAGATAATAAAGAAATAATAAAATAATACATCTAATTGCTTCTTCCCAAAGTCAGACGGGCTTAATTCATGATTTTGATTCCTATAATTATTATATGGCACATCTGTTTAGCATAGCCTAATATCTTCAGTACACATTAAATAAAGGATCACCACCAGCCTGTTATTTATGAGATGGATATTGCCTATTAATTTATTAGAGATGTGCAACCTGCAGCTGTTTAATTTGAATTAATGGGTGCAATGGGGAGATTACATTGAGTTATATTAATTTCCTGAAGACTGATCCTAACCATAGTCATCACTTGACAAATATCCTAATCTAACCTAACCTAACAATAATAAATAAATGAAAAACGTTGGTTGGAACCTGTTTATATTCCCATGAGGGATGCAGGTACTCTTGATTTGAGTGTGTATACAGATTTAAATTTCCCCAATGTGATAAATACCTGCCCACCACATCAAAATTGGAGCTAAACCTGGACTAAACCAGGACCAAACCAGGACAAATGTGCAGGCACCCTTAATCACCCATTGAGGTTAACCTGCTGACGCTAAACATCTCCAACAGAAGTCTATCCCACATTGTTTGAGTCTGTGTTGTGTTTTGTTTGGTCCTTCTGTCTCATTCCTCTGCATTAGTGGCGGGACAGAACGTGGTCTCGGAGCGGAGGGGGGCTGTGGTCACCGTGGCGATAAACCGTCCAGAGGTGCGAAATGCGGTGAACCAGGAGACAGCGCGGCGTCTGCTACAGGAGCTGGAGGCCTTTGACCGAGACCCAGGCTTAAATGTGGCGGTCCTCCACGGGAAAGGTTAGAGGAGCAGACAGCAAAGTGCTATTCTGTTTTGGTCTGTCCCATAATCACATAATCACAAGTCAATTTTCCAGACTGAGGTGGTTTTATTTCATTCAAAATCCAAACTCTTCTAACATTTTATTGTCCTAAATTTTGACTAGGACTTTTTGCACAACAACAAAATATGTCATCTTAAGTAGGCTATGTATCTGACTGTGAGATACTGACTATGTCTAATAGTTAATAGATAGTTGGAACAATAGTTATGAGTACTTGATACTAGAAGTGGAAAGACTACTTAAAATGTGTAGTCTTGTAGAACTTATGCTTAAGTAAAAGTATAAAGTATACCTGAACAATACTGGACTTCAGAAAGTAGTTGATATTTACTTTTTACCTAATTTTAGAGGCCTTTTGGTTCATCAAGGTGATATTTAGATTTCTGCGTACAGCCAGTTCTACACCTAGACTTTATCAATCCTAAATTTAGGCTAATGAGACTTTACCATGCATAAGGGAGCTTTAAATGGTTTATAGATACTCAAACTTAAGCCGAGTTTAGCAAACGGGTTGGCATATTTTTCTAGTTTTTCACCTTAAAAGATTCAAATTTGATTCTTTGCTCACCCAGTTTAAATGTGTGTATATTTAATCTATTCAGGTTATTATCTTTTTCTTCAAGGTTTTAAATTTGGAAACTATAATATCAAAAATGTCCCCTTAGTGTTCGTAACACTTAACTAATTTTTCCTGTATTGTATGTTCATAAACATTTTACATGAGACAAGACATGGAAAATATCTGTGTCGAATTAAACACATTTTATAAAGTGAAGTGGCTGTGAACACATTTAAGTGGCCAGTGCTGCACTCTGTCACACGTCAGAACTAAAATTGTGCCAAGCTCCTAATAACTTTTCAAATAATCACGGTTCTCACCACTCTGTTTCCCATTCAACATAATGTCTTCAACCTGGATCAACCTGTGCTTTTTACCAAAGTTTCAATAAAGTCCTTCATTTCCTCAGAGCTGTCGGCCATGTTTGTAGTTTCACAGATTCAATTCAAAACAAGATGGCTGACCTTTCATGGGGGTTAACATCTTGTCTTTGAGTTGATATGACAAGGAGCGAGGGCCGAGTTTGGATGTAGTATTTATAAAACCATGAGGAATCAATTTTACTCAAATTAGCGCCAACACGACCACTCTCCCAGCTCTCATTTTTCTCTGTCAAACTGTTTTTCTTTTCAACATGTGAAATTAAGAGTAATTGCAGTTGGAGGTTTTGAATATTTGAGAGGTTTTGGGCTTCGGGTTTCGGTGGACGTTTGCGGTCAATCCTGATGGCAAACTAAAGTGTGTCACTCCAGAGGTATGCAGAGCTGAGCTGGCATTTAAGCATTTAAATGGGGCAATGTCCTGTCAAAGTAAATGTTTTGGTGAACGAAAAACAGGGCTGAAGTTATTTGGTTTGACTCAGGGTTGTTCTAAGTCCACTTGGAGAAAAGAGGCTTGTTAGAAGTAATGTTAAAGCAGACCTATTATGCAAAATCGACTTCAGAGCTTTTAACCATGTTATAGTTGTTTCCCCTCACTAGTTACTCACCCAAAATTGTCTTCGGAGGGATTTGTGCATGTCTGAGCAATATTTAATCGCTTATTTTCAAAACGCCATGTTGCCAATCAACACCCGTTTTCGCTGCCACAGGCATATGTCCACTGCTCTGTGCTTACTTTGTTCTTCAGTTTTATTTTCTCACTTTTAATTTGTGATTCGCATTGGATTCAGCAGCATTTTGTAATGATTTTGTTACAAATGAAAAAAAATCTGCTACAGACACAAGCTCAATGTGTCTTCTTTAAAATAGTGTTATAATGACACTGTTCACTATGTTACTTTTCTGATGCGGGGCCTGACAACTGCTTGTCTTTATGATGTTTTGCTTTGCCTGGAATATTCCAAAGTATGGCATTAACTATATCTGTGAAGAAGAGCAAGTGACACGACCGGGGCAAGTTACAGATCAGATCTGTGGACAGGTAAGCCCACTCAAAGAGAGACTGCATGTTTTCGTATATATATATTATTTTAGCATTAAAACAACTGCAATTGAATACAGCTGCAAGGTAGACTGGTTTACTGCCATACTGTGGAACATTCAAATCAATGCAATCTCCATGGACAGAAGCAGGTAGCAGACCCTCCACCAGAAAAAGGTCAGTCCTGCACCTTTTATATTCAGTAACCTTATAGTTCTTGTTTGGTATATACACGGAAAGTCCCCACCTGGACTTTGTTCCCATCTGGTCAGTTTACCATATGATCCTATGATATTCTGATTCAATGCAGAGGTAGTATATAAAATTCCTAATGTTTTATGCAGATTTTCGATGTCAGATAGCCAATTCAATGGCCCAGTCACAGAAAAATGACAGACATGTGTGGATTTCTTTTGTAATATTCATAAAACACCATACATAAGGATTGTGCACACTGACTCTTGCACCCTATATCATTTCCACGTTATATATTTTTTTCATTTCAAAACCCAAATATGTCAGTATTTGTCAACAATCTGAAAAATTAGGACATGTACTTTTCTCATAAAGTATTCCTCAACAATGCACCAGTAGATTTTCACACGACTGTAGCTCACTGTTGTAACTCATTTCTTTTTTTCGACCCCAGCCCTTTTGAGCCCCTCTGTCCCTTCTCAGTTTCCCATAAACACCATGACACACTCTCCTCTAATTGCTCTGAGTTCACATAAAACTGTAATCTGGGTGTTGCAGGCGTGTACGTTCATTATAATCATTTTCATTTCACTCATTTCAGACTTTATAAGAGCCTTTGACGATATATGAGCCTTTGACAAACTTACTGCTTGTTTGTTGGTCTCTTGGGAAATGTAGTGATGATGATTGCATGAAAAAGGAGATCCCTGATTGACAATAATGCTTGATGCTAGGAGTGGTTGAAGTCGACTGAAGATTTCTGGACTCTCCCGACACTAATGAGATAATAATTTAGAAATCATGTTACACAATATAGCATTAAACATATCTTTTGAGTATTTCACTTGCATATATTTCATTAGTGTTTTAAAATTTGTATTAGTCGTATAATAAGTTTATTTAGGTTATAAGGATGTATATGGAACAAGAGCAGAATGGAGAGGTTTGTGAGTGAGTTTTTTTTTTTTTTTTGTTTTATATGTACAAAAATAAATAAAATAAATAAAAGCAGATTACACCCATGATTCACAACTTCTGTCTTTAACCTAACCTTAAACTTTGGAGAGCTTTTTCCATGCTCCCTTTTTGGTTGACTAATCGACCCACCGGATATCTCTGTAGTCAACCAAGCATTTTTTAAATCAACTACAGCCCTAATATTGTGAGATTTGATGTTTCTCATATTCTTACTATGCTCTTATTTGTTGGGAAAAATACCACATGAATCCACAGCGAAGTCTGCGGTTTCGATGGAGATCCCTGTAGGCCAATAATGTCATTTGCTTATATCCCGATTACATTTGGTCTCTTGGATATAGGAAAGCGTTTATGTGCCAACCAGCTCAAAGCAAACTGAGACCCAAATTGCAGCCCTCGGACTCTAGCTCAACTTGTTGTTTTTTTCTTCCTCATCTTTTTCCCTTCCTCTCTGACTTTCCATCTGCCATACTTTGTAATTTTGTGGTCTCTTCCAGGAGGGAATTTCTGCGCTGGTTATGATTTGAAAGAGCTGGCCAATCACACAGACTCCCTCAAATTGGAGCAAGATGTCACCAAGGGTCCCGGGCCGCTGGTGAGAGCCGTTCCTGTCTGTCTATACTGTGTACAGTATTCTCACGTGATGCTTCATATGTTACAGGGCACATCATTTAGTTTTCCAACCCACAGAACATGGATCATTTAGAGGCTTTACATTATTTACTGTGAAATAACCCTAAAAAGCACCAGACTTTTGCTGTATATAATGGTGTTTAGAGGTCACATTTGAAAACGTCAATTACTAATAACTCGACCTACTCAAATTATATAAATTAAACTGTATTGATTGTGTTTATTCCTCTGACCTCTACCTATGTCAAAACTAATTAAAAACACAGTTCTCAAAATTTTACATCTTGGTATAATTTATAATTTGAAATTGGCAAGAAATCCAAACAAAAAGAAAAATTTAATAAACTTTTTTTTTTTTTTTTTTTTTTTTTTTACAAATGTTGATTACTAGTTAATTTGTCTAAAATCATACACAGTCTATGTGACGTCTCAACATAAATTATTCATCAAGAAACTGTAATTTATGAAAAAGCAAAAATGTTCAACTTCAACTGCTCCCTAACAGTTATTTCAGACTTATTTGTAATGATTTGAGCAGGCTCGTAGCACAGACAAAGTGGTGTGATGCTAACTCAATAAAACTCAAAATTGTGAGTAAAAAGTGCGTAGGAGAAACCGAATGACCCCCATCCTCCACTTGACACAGGATAGAGATCATAACACAAAAGATTTACAGTTACTGAGCCCCATAAACCCTGCAGACTCCATAAAATCTGTTTGGATTGCATGTTAAAGCCCCAGGATCACAAGACCTCCTCAGTGTAAAATTATAGCATTGTATCTCCCGGCTGTAGCGGCCAAAGCGTGACGCACTCTTTGTTACTCTTTCATTTTGAGAAACGAAACAGGAAGTCAAACCTGGATGATCTTTAGTCGATAAACTTCACGGAAATTTTACAAGTCAGAAAAGCGTGAAATGTAAAAAATATCTGTGCACATACATTCAGTGTTGAGCAATGCATATAAAATTGAATGAAGCTAGAGTTTATTTGTGTTAGAGGTGGGTAGAGTAGCCAAAAATTTTACTCAAGTAGAGTAACATCACTTCAAAATAATATTACTTAAGTAGACGTATAGAACTAGTGATTCAGAAGTTACTCAAGTAATTGAAAAAATTGTAATTATGGGAAATTAATTCTGAAGTAAGTCTTAATGTAACATATCAGAAGCAATGCAAGAAAAACAAATGGTAGTAGTACTGTTACACTATAAACTACATTACTCCAGTAAAAAGTGGAAAATTACTCAAAAACATCCTCAGAAAGGTACAAATTGTTCACAGAGTTAGTCAAGTAAATGTTAGTAAATGTTGGTGAGTAAAAGCCACCTCTGCTTTTTATAGGCCACATAAAGGCAGCCAGTTTGAGGATGTGGTGTGTATTGTTTGTGGTTTGCTCACTATTAAAGTATTCTCAGAGGTGCGATTGTATTGTTCTTTCAGGGGCCGTCCCGTTTGCAGCTGTCCAAGCCTCTCATTGCGGCGGTCAGTGGTTTTGCAGTGGCTGGAGGACTGGAGCTGGCTCTTTTAGCTGATCTGAGGGTGGTGGAGGAGAGCGCGGTGATGGGGGTCTTCTGTCGGAGATTTGGTAAGTTTATGTGCATTCAGTAAGATGGGAAAGATGTCAAAGGGTTATTGATACTTTGCAGTGACATTATGCTGGGGGTGTTGTATATCTATGTGTATGGTGGAATGTTCATCAGTTACCATGGTGACACAATATACACTTCAGCAAACATTGCCAAAAAGTTTTAAAACGTCTGAAACTCAAGAAATATACACAATGGTATTATGATGGATTTTCAGGAGGATGTGATCAATACATGGTCCTGTTTTGGTGTTTTATTTTCAACAAAAAAGTGAATGACTAAATGAAAAAGCGTTAGATAATGCTAGCCAATTTGTGACTATAATTTCAGAGGGATTTATGTACCAGCACAAATCAGCTCACCTATGGTAGTTCCAGATGAATCACTTCTTTATGGTCAGATTGTGTTAAAACAAAGCTCAGATTATGATATGGCACCAGTATATCGAGTATATCGAATAATGACACCAATACTGAAACCTCTGGTGGATCAGATATCAGTTCCAAGATATAATTTCGATATCCTTTTCAGTATCTGTTTTGGTCTATAAATTTATGATTTATGAGCCCAAAATGTCTCATAAAATTCAACTGATTTCAATTCCTGAACAGTAGCATATCATACCTGCCTTAAAGGTACACTGTGTACCTTTTCTAGTGGAGGATCTGCCATCTGCTTGTCTCCATGAAGCTGTTATTGCATTGCATGGAAGATTCCACAGTATGGCATTCATTGTATCTGTCTCCATGGAGACAAGCAGGTGATGCCACCACAAAGAACACATTGAACATAGAGTTTGATGAAATAAAAAAAGTACATTGTCAGAGAGTCATATCGCAGTTTGATATGAAATATTGTTGTATCCTCTGATTTGTCCATTTTCTGGATGTACGTGCATAATTATGTCTGCTGAGACTCTCCCTGTGTATCTCCTGTGTCAGAACATTCATTTATCTCTGTGTTTCGGGAAGTCAGCTCTGTTCTGACTGCTGTTACTCTCTCCGCTGTTATCTTTTGAGTTTCTTGTTGTTTTTGTATGCGAGGATGGAGTCACCGCACGATAACACTGCTGACCATGACCTATGACCCTTGATAAGCTCAACCAGGAAGTAGCTAGCGGGGAGGTTTCCACGGCAGCCAGACACCTTACATTATACACATTACATTATTTATGTCTCTCCATTTCCTTATAAACAACTTGCAACTTCGTGCGGGGCGTACATACTTTAGTATTGATGTAATCTTACAGTAGAACTTGCTGCACAAATTCAGATGTATCTAAATATTAATCAATAAAATAACATTAAAAAATAAACAATATATTGAGAAGAGATAGAAAAAGTACGGTATACAGCAAGCAACATGTATTGAGATCACCCAGAGCTGGGAGATGTGACAAAAATGTTGATTCTTTTTCTCATATTGATCAATCACAATTTTTTTCTTTCTAAAATCCAAATACAAAATTGCTTTCAATATTAATTTCTGGGGCATACAAATTACAGACTAAAGAACAATACAGAAAGAACGGGGCGGCAGTAGCTCAGTTGGTAGAGCATTCGCCCACTGATCTGAAGGTTGGTGGTTTGAATCCAGCTATCAACATAAACATCTCAGGTTGAGATCGGTCAGATCCACTGACCCACAGGTTGGCTGGTGTGATTCCAGCTCCCACAGGTGAATGCTGTCGTTGTGTCCTTGGGCAAGACACTTAACCCACCTTGCCCACAGTGTCTGCGTACACTGGTGTGTGAATGGGTGAGTGGTTCCTTGTTGTAAAGCGCTTTGAGTGCCTTGAAAGTGGAAAAGCGCTATAGAAAAATGTGACCATTTACCAAGAAGTCAAATTTCTTAATCCAAAATCTGAACACTGCTCCACACCAAATGTTTCTTTTTTTTCAATTAGAATGACTGAATCTCGATCTTGACTCAGCCTTAAGATCAGTAACCAAAACATTTTTAAGAGTACTCGTAAATACTCAAGTAGAACCAAAGATTTACTCAAGTGCACGTGACTCATTACTACCCACATTTACTTTCCTGTTTTTGTTTGGCCCAGTTTATTCTGTTGTTGCTTTGCTTTTGATGGACACTTTTGTAAACACTTTACCTAATCCTGATCCTTACACAGCTCCAGCCTGTGTTTGAGAGTACTTTGTCGTAACATTTCATACACAGTTTGTAACAGTTGAGTCTAAAAATATCTCATCAGCGCGTTAAGTAAAGTGTTGGGCCATAATTTTGTGTCAATGCACGATTTGGAGGTAAACACTTGTCAGTTGATGGTCTATAATTTAAAGTGGTGCATCATGGAAAGTGCCGTTTCAACATGCTTGCACCTTGTTCTCAAAAATGTTTTTTATTTATGGGCCGACAATAAATACGAAGAAATGGAGAAAATAAGATAAACAAAACTGTTCTTATTTATTGTCTGACCAAAAGTGGTAGAATATTTAGTCTCCTCCATTTATTGTCCAGCTTTTGAACTGGTCTATCTATCCTGGTCTATCCAAGCTGCTCAAGCGAGTGGTATATACATTTAGACTTAGACTTAGACTTTGACAAATTATTGATCCGCAAGGGAAATTACTTGGACCCAGTAGGTTACACATCACAATATATTATAGAAAGGAAAACAGTGCAAAATGATATGATGATTGACAGGACATAAGGTTATCTGTTACATAAAGGTGAGCTGTTGTACAGTTGTAGGGAGTATTATCTGCTACATCACGGTGAGATGTTGTACAGTTGTAGGGAGTATTATCTGTTGCATAAGGTGAGTTGTTATACAGGTCTAGGGAGTATTATCTTCTACATAAAGGTGAGTTGTTGTACAGTTGTAGGGAGTATTATCTGTTACATAAGGGTGGTGAGTTGTTGTACAGGTGTATGGAGTATGGTATGACTGTGGTCCTGTATCTCTCACTGGTGGAGCGAAGCTATTGGAGCCTGTTGGAGAAGAGCTTCGCTGAAAATGCAGCTTTTTAACATAACGAGACGACAAAACCAGGGCATCCCTAAAGACTTAAGTCACAAAAATGACTGATGATATTACCAAAACAAGATCATTTTGAATAGATACACTCAAGATCTGCTTTTCTGTTCAAAAGCTTTTGCCAGTCCAGGACTATAGTAGGGTAAAACCAAGACCTGTTACACCTGATGAATGGTTCACATACCATAGTTTAAGAACTACTGATTTAAAGGTGCTTTATTTGTATAGCACTTTTCATAAATATATGATACATACACAAACACTTTAGCAACAGAAAATCCCTTTTAGCTGATTAATCGATACATAAAGCATGTTTTGTTTTGTTTTTTTACTTTTTTCCCCTGCAACGGAAAGATTACTGAAACATCCCGTTTTAATGTATTGAATTTTGTGGTTAGCCTTTGTAGTATTATACAAGTCTTCATTAGTACAGTTTAAATATTGTAACTTCACACTGGTTGCCTGCATGTACTTTTTATATAAACAATACGAACAGCCCACATTTCCGTCCAAAGCCGCCCTGTTCTGTGGGCTGTGTAGTTTATTTAAAGATCTATCATTTCTTCCTGAATATTTCGCTTTAATCGTTCAATCCTGTAACAGTTTTCAGGCACAGATGGCAGCAGCTCGAGGGAATCCCTGGTGGCTGTGGCATTTGAAAAACCCTTTGGAGACTCATGGGTTCGCTGTGATGTGGGCCAATCACGACCACAAGTTTTCTGGCACGTGATTGGTTGTCGAACCCGCTGCTTCCTGTCTGGGCCCCTGTGTCCTGCTGTGGAGGAAATGAGAGGGCGGGCGGGGGTTTGCGTCACTGGTCTGGGCCTGTCTGCTCCTGCTCATTCATTGTACAAAGATGTGAATGAAAAACTACTCTGCATAACTAATTCCGGCGTGTTATTTTTGGTTCCCAGAGATAGTGTGGGATTTTGAAGTAAGCTCATAATGTATCAGCCAAGCCACTCAAGCACTCATATTTCTGTCAAGATATTTTAAACTTGGAATAAAGTCCTCCCTAAACTGCTGAGGTGAGTAGAGTAGCCAAAAGTTTACTTAAGTAAGCCTCCCGTAACTTTAAAACAATATTACTCAAGTTGTATTACTAAGTAGGGCTGGGCAATTAATGTAATCTAGCTTTTTAATAATCAAATCGAATTGATTAGAAAAATCGCAAAATTGTGAAATCGAGGTCTTTTAAAATCTGTGATTTTTCATGTCACACTGCAGGACACCCTTTGGATTACAGCATTACACTTTTTATATTTTTTTTTAGATTTAAAGTCACATTAAAGGTGTAATATAATTAAATAATGTACACATGCTTCCCTTTATTCCAGCACCTTTATTAATTTTCTCTGACACATAAGACTTACTCTTGATTTTTTAAAGAAAGTGTTATGGTCACACCACAGGACATTTGAGTGTTTTCTTATTGACACACCAAAAAATGACACAACTTTATTCTAAAGCTATAGGTAATTTAAAAATACTTATTTGTGCACAGATTAGTTGAATTTCGAAGAAAGAAAAATGTTATTTAGAAAGTCATTTAAAGTGATTACACCATTAAAATATATAGATTTTATATGGGTGTGTTTAGTATGTTCAGAAATATGAAGTTTTGAGAATGTGAAATGTCATGTCCTTAGATAGACCACCATGATGAAAAACTGGCTCGTATACCTTATTAAATACTGCACATCATTTTTTCGAAATTCATTTTAAAATTCACCCAATTTCATAAATCTAATTACGAGAGATCGAATGAGTTGACGCAGAGGAGAAACCCCGTAATAGGATTATAATGTATTTGGCAAATCTAAATCAGATAATAAACTGTTGTTCACTTTTATTGTTTGCAATTTCCTGTTGGAAGTAAACCAGTCATTCATATTACACACTGTCTGACCTCTCATCATAAGTCTTAAGGCAATAATTTTCTTTTTATATGAATGGATACTGCCTGTGCCATCCAAGTCCATTGTCCATTGAGACTATTAC